TAAAGGCAAACAGGCCCACATTTATCAGGAACCTTCTGTCCTATAGCTCTATTAACATTTATACAGAGGCCTTTCTTCCTCATGGTTCAGCAGCAACATGGCTCAAGACCTGGGCACTGGGTCCACCTTCTAACTGGCAAGTGGAAGAAGGGGGGATGGGCACATTCCCCCCCCCCCCAGATGTGGTTTCTCTGTGAAACTTTAGCTATCCTGGATTCACTCTGTAGACCAGGTTGGCCTTACAGTAACAGAAATCTGCCTGCCTCTGCCTCCCAGAGTGCTGGGATCACAGGCATGCACCATTGTGCCCAGCTGATGGGCACACTTTTAAAGCAAGTCTCAAAAGTTGCTCATGTCTCTAGCTACCAAAAAAAAAAAAAAAAAAAAAAAAAACCCTAGTAGGATGGGCTGGAGAGATGGCTTTGAGGGTAAGAGCCCTGACTGCTCTTCCAGAGGTCCTGAGTTCAATTCCCAGCGTAATGAGATATGGTGCCTTCTTTGGCATGCAGGTGTACATGCAGACAGAACATTGAATACATAATAAGTAATCTTTTAAAAAATCCTAGTAGGTATGATTGTTAATTTTGTGTCATCTGTACTGGTTTAGTGAGAACAAAGAAATCAAGCAAAGCAGTATTTTTTTTTTTTTTTTGAGTGTGTGAGGACCAAGTAGAGAAAGATCTACTTCCAATGTGAGTGGAAGCCCAGATAGAACAAAGACTTTGGGGTTATCAGACCCTTGCATCTGGACTCAACCATTCTCCCAACATCCTGTTGGTTCTACCTCTTTGAGAACCTGAGTTTAGTAGGATTATACTTGCCAAATAAGATGAGAAGTATGTTTATTTGAAGAACAGATGCAATGGTTCTCAATCTTCCTAATACTGCAACCCTTTAACACAGTTCATCACGTTGTGGTGACCCCCAACCATGACATTATTTCACTGCTACTTCATAACTCAATTTTTCTACTGCTATGAATCATAATGTAAGTATCTGATATGCAGGATATGATATGTGACCCTGTAGGGTGGTGACCCCCCCAGGTTGAAAACTCTGAATAAAGAAAGATGATCAGTCTTCGGTCAGAACGTGGCTAACGGTCAGCCCTTTCTCTGCTGTAGGGAGAGGTCTTTCCAAAGGCTGAGCATTGGTCATCTGGAATGCAAGTGTCTTCCAAGTGTAGTTGTGAAATTCATCCTTATTTCATTCTTCTTTTAGAGCTGAGTATCCAAATCAAGCCTTGAATGTATGACGCAGGTGCTCTACCACCACCACCTCGAGCTTGTTTTGTTCAAACAAACAAACAAACAAACAAACAAACAAACAAACACCTCCTGGGATTAGCCATTACCAGGCTGGCTTCCAACATGCAGCAATCATTCCACCTGTCTTAGTGTTGTGCTGCCCATGTGATCATTATGTTCTGAATCAGAAAAGTCCAGGCTCAACATAACAATTTTAAAAGTTATACTCCATTTTCAGTATTCTTTTTATTCAAATGTTTTCTAATTTTAATTGATATCAAATCACCATCTAGAAAAGACTGAAACAATGTACATTTCCACCAATGTAAAAATAAGTTCTCATTTATTCCCAATTTTTCCTACCACGGTAGATAACTGTTATTTTAGATTTTTATCTTCTGGCTTTTAAAAATATTGATGTGTGTGTTTGCCTCCATGTACATGGTATGCAAGGTCTGAATAAGGAAGGCATTAGATGGAGTTAGGGATGATTGTAAACTGCGATGTGGGTACTGGGAAGTGAACCTGGGGTCTACAAGAGCAGCAAGTGCTCTTAGCCTCTAAGACATCTCTCTAGCTCTCTTTTCTTTAATTTTCATTTAGACACTATTATTTTTGGTTTTAACTTTCTTCTATATATTTTTTTGATTAAGAAATACTTTATGAACAGACCACAGTTGACTAAGAAATCTGACTTCCATGTTTAAGTAAACTTTTTATATCAAGATCTGTATATCTTATTATTTTTAGCTCTTTGAGGCAGTCTTTAAAGATGGGCTGCTGGTTAGAAAACATACATTTCAATCTTTTTGTCAAACCATCTTCTACAACCTACAACTCTTGTACAAACTACACGCCCACCAAAAATGTTAAAAACAATTGTGCGCTGACTTTTGTCAGTGCTGTAGGTGACTGGTGTTTAAACTTCTGTCGTCTCATCGATGTGAATGGTCTCCTTGGTCGATGATTTGTTTCACTGACTGTTTTGGATGTTTTCCAGCAGAAGAGCTCAATGGCTCAAGCACAGATTAGCCCACCAGAGGGGGTCACAGCTCTATCACCCACTGTATGACATGGGCAAGAATTCCTTTAGAGGCTGATGTTGTTTGCAGTATTTCCTCTCTTATGGCAGACTGTGACAGCCTTAAACACCACCTAGCATAAAACAACACTAAATGACTAACAATTCCATGCATGTACCAATTTTGATAAATGAGCCACCTATACTACACTAGATGTTTTTAGTTTGTGTTAAGTCTACTCTGATGTTCACATAACAAAACTGCCTAACAAAGCATTTCTTGGAATATATGGCTGTTGTTACATGACACAACTATCAGTGTCGTTAATTCATAGAAATCCTATGTATAGGGGAGAGTACTCCTGAGTCTGTCTAATTGGAGATACATCCTTAGTCTAACCTACAAAGATTTGTTTTATATAGCCAAGTGCATCTATTGTTCTCTTTACAGCTTCTATGGTCCCCTTTTTATGAATTACTGGGTTTCTTAAGGTTAATCATGTTACTTTTAGAAGATTTTAATAATACCTCAAACTTATTCTTTAATCTAGAAATTTAGGAACTCATCTTCAAGCGCTAGTTTGCACAAAGGAGCAGGGGTTTATTTCTTGCCTAAAAGCCATGTCTCTGACCGAAAGTGGTTCTCTTCAATTTAAGTTATCCAATAAACAAATGACCATCTCTGTTGGGGTCTCCGGGCCCCAACATTTGCTTTATTATTCCAAAGACCAAGGTAGGATACTGTTACTAGTTGCCTTACCCAGAAAGGGAGAGGGGGGAAGCTTCCCTTTCCCAAAGACTTCTAGAAGGGTTAACTTTAATTCAGTTCCAGGGCAATAATCAATTGGTTTCACGAGTATCTGAAGTTCACTATTTTATTGTTTCCTTCAAGTCATTTGATTACCACCAATAGGAACTCATTTAAAAATTGTATTTATTCTGTCTGTATGTTCAGCACAAACGTGGAAGTCAGAGGACAAGTTGTTAGAGTTGGTTCTCTCCTAGTATCTAGATACTAGGGACACAACAGAGGCAGTCAGATTTGGCAGCAGGTACATTTATCTGTTGAATCATCTTGGAATCTCAGTTTTTCCTTACAAAAGGTGAATTTATAGAAGTGTGATAGGCTACAATAAAGGAAAACCTAAGTAACTGGACTTGAAAACAGGTTTTAGGGCTCTCCAGAGGATTATGCACCATTGCCTGTATAGTTTCTTTGGGACATTTTTATCAGAACCATTCATTTCCTGCCACTTTGCCTCTCATTTCTCTTTAAAATCTGAGATCCTTGACAAGCAGCGGTAGTGGAGGCCTTTAATCCCAGCATTTGGGAGGTAGGTGGTCTCTTTGAGTTCAAGACCAGCTTGGTCTACAAGCAAGTTCCAGAAGAACCCTGTCTCAAAAAACATTAAAAATAGGGGTTGGAGAGATGGCTCAATGGCTGCCTCTACAGAACTGGGCCCCACATGACAGCTCACAACTCTCTGTAACTCCACAGTTCCCAGGGCATCTGATCCCCTCACACAGATACACATGCAGGCTGAACATCAATATATATTTAAAAAAAAAAATCTAAAGTCCTGGTGGGAGATAAATTTTGGTAAGATTGGCCTTGGCCAGGAGTATGAGGCCAGTATACTGTCATGCACTGTTCCATCAGAACCATGTCATATGGAAAAGGAACAGCTCTTCAAAGGAAGAGTGGAGCTCTGCCAGTGAAGAAAGTGATTTGGGGCAGGCCAAAGCAATGTATGTACATTATAACATTTAAATAGTGAATCTTCAGTGGACCAGTAACCAGGATGTAAATGTCACACTGCCACAGCATTCGAGTGCTTTAAGACACGCACGTTTTTCTAAGATGAAAATTCAAGGTATATGTGTAGCAGCTTTAGCAATCCAAAGGCCTTACTTTTATTGCCGTGACTTTAAAAAGTGACTCATTTTCTTCTCTTTGCCTAATGTAGGCAATGCCATCAGATTTAGCAGTTTAGCCATCACTTTAAAATCTGGAATAATTTCTCATGGAAGGTGAACCTATCAAGCTCTGATAGTCGTGATGATTCAAGATGCTTTAAAGGAAGCTTTAAAAACTAAGGAACAATTGCTGAACTGTAAGCTTTCTAAAGTGTAGCCATCTGCCATCTTGCAGAACACAAAAATGTGTTAGATTCACTCTACAGAGGTTATTGCTATTCTTAATCATTTCACAAATAAACTCAGGATTAAGTAACTTGCCAAGGTCCAATAGTAGGCATTTACTTTTAAAATGCTTTATTTTTAAATAAAGTTTAAAAGTAGTATGGTAGTGTAAAAAAGTCAAATACAGAAATTGAGTCTCATGTAATCTACACTGCTCAAGCCAGTTAACAGATCTTTTTATGAAAAGATAAGCAGACGTTTAAAGGAGTTCACACCATACATTTCTATCAATTAGCTTGTCTCCCTTAATTACCCTTGTGGCCATTTTTCTATGCCCACTCAGTTAACAACTATGTAGATTTTCTTTTATGGCTGAACCATATTGTATTCAACCAATCTCTTCTTAATTTTTTTTTACCAGTAATTTTTATGTTTCTGTATTATATTATTGTTTCTGTTTTTTATTTAAATTTAAATTTAAATGTGGCCTTGACCTCCACCTTAAGAACTTGACCATAACAAGTTTCGTTGCTGGTAAATACTTTTAGTAGTCAGGACTTAATTTCAAGTAATAGAAACCCAACTCAAAGTAACTTAAACAAAAAGGGTATTTATTGGTTCACATAACTGAAAAGTCCAGGGGATATCACTAGCTTCAGGCACGGTTGGATCCAGGGGCATAAATGTCATCAGAACTTTTGGCTCTGTTTCCCTCTGTACTGGCTTCATTCTCTGCCTGAGTCATTCAACATAGTAGGCCCTGTTGGTTTGAGTTTTCTCCTGTAACACTCAAGCATCTAAGTAATGAGAACTTCTCCACAACTGAGTAAAACGCCTAGGGTTGATTATCATTGAACAAACTTGAATCATGCATCCATTCTTGAACCAATCACTAGAGTCAAGATGGACTTTGCTGATTGATGAAATTGGAATAGCATGTCCAGTACAAGATTCAAAAAGTCTAAACCACACAGACTGGAAGTTGGAAGAGATGGTTTCAAAAAACACGAAGTTGTTATAGTGAGACGGAATGGATGCTGAGCAATAATAACAAAACAAAACAAAACAGCTAACATCCAGGATAAGACCAGATACAGAAAGCTTAATCTTTGCCCATAAAGTCGACTTTTGGCAGCTGGTATTTCTTCCTTGGTAATCAAATTCCAAAAATCCTCAGGAAATTTACAATTCACTTGAATAAACAATAATTTCCATTAGCATCATACTCTACAAGTCATCATAGGTTTGCTTTCAAGTCACATCTATCAGTCCCAGTACATTAGTGATATGAAGCAGGAAAACCAGCCTCCTAATTGATAAGCATGTCTGTGAGGGTGTTTGAGTTAGTGGCAAAGTTCAGCAGTAAACTGGTGTTGCTTTCTGTCTCTTGTTAAGATGAACTTGTAATTTCTGAGTCCTGGTCGATCATGTTCATTTCTGAGTTACCACAGGAAAACAGCAATGTACTCTGCTTTCAACCTGCTATTCTACTTTTAGGTAAAATAGCCGTTTCAAGCATCGAAAATAAGCAGGGTTATTCTCTACTTGAGGTTGCTGATTGAAGAGTATGCAGCATGGTCCTTCCTGCTGTGAATATTAAGTTCTGGTGGGGAGAGGTACAGGTTTCTTCTATTCAAAATTCCTTGCTGGAACTGGGCACAAGAGAGGCTGAAACTGACTGTAGTCTTCTCAAGGCCAGTTAGTCTGATTGAAGTAGCATGTCAAAAAAAAGGCAGGTTAAGAGCTGAAGACTAGTAAACAGACAAACAGTAATTTCAGCAGGGCCAGCCATACCAATAGTTAAGCTATCATCTTGAAGGACAGGCAGATTAATAATGAAGCTCTGTAAATTAGATTTGTCCTGGGTACTCCAGAGTTATTCCACAGGGTTTACTCCAGACATAATTTTTGGATCTCAAAGGGCCAGTTGGGTATAGCAGCTTTCATTTTCCTGCTCATCTGTGCAAGAACTGCCAGCTTAGAAGGCTATATCCTCAATGCAGACTTGAGGTTCTAGTTAGGAGTCTATGCTACATCTGGGAGCAATAGGATTGTAGAACCAGGCTTGTCATAGTTGGCTCTACTTTCTTTGGTAATCAAGTCTTCACCTTCTGTAATACAGCCCATCTCCAAGAATCATCTTAAAGGCAAGTCAAGGCCTCAGACTGGTTAGATGGCACTGTTGATTTAGATGAGATCCGAGGCATGAAGATAGTAGAAAAGGTCCTAGATGAAGGCTTTTGCCTTAGGTTTTAGCTTTTCCTACTTATCCAATCACTGATTCTTGATTCTTCACTTTAACTGAGTATGGCAGGAGGGAATAACTGGCAGTGTAGACTTTTTACTACAAATAAAGAGCTAACAATATAGAGATAATAGAAAAGCGAAATCTGTGATTTCTTCTTTACAAATAGTTGTATATACAAGCAGATGTCATCCAGATTTTGATTTGCTGACCATGAGCAGTCTAATTAGATCAGAGTCTGATTTGTGGCAAGAATCATGATATAAAGGAGGCAGTTTCAATTGTGTACTTAAGAGTAGCTGATGGCAGTTGGCTCTTGACTACGAAGAATGAGATTTTCTCAGGTCACAAATTGAAGTCTTGTTCACTATATGATTTGGATATTCTGGAATTTTATCCTTTCTACAAAAAAAAAAATAATCTTAATGCTTTAAGAACACTTCATAGTAAGGAATAAAGTCAGCCACTCTGAACCAGTATAAAGGGATAGGATGAGACAGATGAAATTCTATTGAAAATATATACAAGGACAGAAACTCAAGAATACTGAAAAAATCCTTAGCTGCCATTTATAGATTTTTTTCCAAGTTAGTCTACTTTTCCAGCAAAATGGTTGGCAATATGCTATTTGAAGTGCCTAGAAAGCTATCACGACCTAGAGACGAGTCAAATGTCTATGTCCAACTATGCCCATGATATACAGTTGATGGTACCAGGCATGAAGACTAATCATTAAAGAATATCTCACTGGGTAGAGGAAAATTTTCCAGCTGTATTTGAAGTCACACATAAGATAAAGGATGTTTAGAGAATGTGTCTTCAGGATCATCTGGTCCATGTAGAATTGAGTAGTTAATTCGAATAGGCAGATACAGAAGTTTAGCTTAAGCCCTGAAAAGTTGTTACTAAATAACAAACAAAAAAACATGGAGCAGTCTAATCACTACTAGTTGTATCACATGACCCAAAATTTGAGGCAATGAATGATGAGCAGGAAAAACTGTATTTGAATTCTGCTTCACAGTTAATCATTACCTTCTGTATGTGGAGTAACACAATGAGAGGGCAAATGAACAACTTGGTCTAAGATGGTCTCAATGAGGCATCAGCTTCAATACCAGCTTTCAGGCAGTTCATATATCCAAGTTTCATGACTTCCAAGTTATGTACTTCCAGTACCATTAGTTATGGGGTTCTTCAGTGTAGGATATATATGAATTGCTCTCTGGCTATATCCAACTTTACGAAGTCCACCGTGGATGGAATGCTATTAATAAAATTTCATTCAACAATGCTGTACGATCATTCTCTTGCTAAAGGCATACCCATCTCCAAACATGTTCAGCATTAACTGAGTATGAACTATATTGGGTTGGAAATACATAAAAGATCAGAATGCCATTCAGGTCAAACATGTTGTCTAGGGCAGTGGTTCCAAGTAATATTTTCTGAAGAATTTTACATAGGGAAGTCCATGGTAGTAAAGGAAGATGGTGGTGGCAGGCTGCAGACCCCTATTCCCGCTTCACTACTTCATCCAGAGCAGCTTCACTTTACTCTGGACTTCCACATAGCTTTTCTTCAAGGAGCTTCATGAGCACAAAGCCTTTGCAAAACCAGTGATAAGGATAAGTTGTTCACAAAATGCTGAAATACAAAAAATAGGTCATGGAAACCATAATGTGGGTAAGCAAGCTCAATGCTAAAAATAAGTAGACAAGTGTTTTTCTATTGTTTTCCTAATGCTACAGATTGGTAGACTTAAAGCTTGAATTTATTATAAATTTTGATTAAAGTTGGGCTTTAAAATGGCTAAAAGGGCTGACCATGCTCTAGTGGATGGCCCCATGAGAATCTGAGCAACACAGCTGGGGAGGTCGGGGAAGGGGAGGACATGAAACTGAAAGAAGGTAGAGTGAGTCTTGGGGAAGTTAGGGGAGTCTGTATGAAATTCCTAAAGAACTGATAAAAAATAACTATTAAAAATGACTACCAGAGAACAAGACTTTTGGTTTTAAGCTGTAATAGCACTGGGAAATGCATTTTTTTTTCTTCCAAATATTACTTTTGAGAAGTCCATGGTTGGATGACTTGACTTATGCAGTAAGGTCTCACTGGGCCACAACTCTAATTCTATGAAGATCTTTCCCTTTTTCCTCCTTACCTACCTGAGAAGCAATCCCCTTAAAAGTTACAACATTGGGAAGCTATTGCTAGTTCAACTAAGACAAAAGTCAATTTTTCCCCTATTATCACAAATATTTTAGAGGTTCCCTTGACAAACAGGTATAAATCAAAATGTGTAATGCTCAGATGTAACATGCTAATTCAATCAGTTAATGACAAAGTATGAGAAAGGGTGGTTTTAAAGACAGTGAATTTATTATGGGGTCTCTAGACCAATCTGCCAATAATTAAGAAGCACTGGTTACACAGCTCTGACAGTTTCCATTCTGTTAAAAAGAATGTTGGAAAAAACCCCACAGCAATCTGTGTTTATTGATGTACAACACATTGGGCAAAACAGCTAAATGAAACTTTGCTGCATGTCTTAAGACCCTAAAACACTACACTGCAATTTGTGTGGAAATGCTTATTATCTATTTTACCACCCACTGGACAACAACAACAAAAAATATATATATAAATTATATACATATATAAAAGCAAATGGCTCATTCTACCTATTTATTTGGGGACAGAAGACTATAGGTAAGCTTTCTGTGTCCAGTAACATTAATAAGACTTAAAGCAATTAACAGAAACAAGTACAGATTTGAAATTATTTCGGCTACTCTTGGGAAGAACATGAAAATGAACAAGAAACTCTAAAAAATATGTTTCATATTGTATACCCTTGTTTCTTTTTTTAAAAAGCAGATCATTAATCACCATGGAGACTGATTGTTCCTACACTTAAGGGATGTCATCAAGGGATTCTGATCTAGATGTAGTTATCATGATTGCACTTCTAACACTGTGCTCTATTGGGCACCATATAAATTGGAAACATGTACATTTTTCAGTCCCCAGCCATTTTAATACTGTGGATAAAGTGAAGGCTAAGATAATGCCAAGAATAATACTGGACTGGGAGTCAGAAGGACTACTATCTACCGTGTCACCTTGGATAATTGCTTAAGTTCTTAAACACTTGTTCTCTCATTTCAAAAAGTGGTGTGACTGTGTTGGTAATTACCTAACTGTATATGAAAGTGCTTTGAACCTGTAAAGTGCTATATAAACAGAGAAAATTACCATATAGGTTCTATCTTGATGTATCAAGAGGCCTTTTCAGGAATCTGATTGAAGACTTGTGAGATGGTTAGATAAAGGGAGTCCTTAGTAGAGTTTCTTAAATCGGTATGAAAAGTTTTGGTTCCTGAGTAACCCAAAGATGATACTAGGAGGAAATCAATGTGCCTTGGTTTTGATCCCAATGGGTCAGAATATCTGCTTTCTCATTCAGTAGACAGCTAGATTTGAAGTAGGAAAATAACAGGAGTCCAGTGACCTTGACAGGATCCTAGGCAGCTCATTAAACTTTAATCATTTTAGACTGTGGAGTATGGTCCAATGTTGTTCTCAGAGATGATGCCTTTCTTCAGTGTTGACGATTTAAACAAAACAAAACAAAACAAAACAAAATCCCCCGGTCCAAGTTTACTAAGTGTCTCTGAAGACTTTAAACTGCAGAAATGAGCTGTACATTTATGGAATAAACTTGGCCTTTTTTATGATAAAATAGCTTTAGTTATTTGGCTTGAAGACTCTTGACTGCATTATAAAGGGCTGTGCTGAATCTGGGCAGAGTAGGACAGGAGTGGAGGTAAAGGCCACATCATGATGGCTGAATGTTTCTTGGGTCACAGTGGTCCACTGGAATGGTGTCTTCTTCAGTAGTAAGGTGGCAGGAATCACCATGGACAAAAATCCAGGTACCAGGTCTGTAGGTTGATGGAATAGAAGGAAGGTCATCAGAGGGTCCAGGTGAACATTCAGCAATCAGGAGGCACAGGACTAGAAGGGGCAGTGAAAAAACAGGTAACAAATACATGAAATTATAATAAACACGGGAGTCTAACACTGGGTTGGGGGTCTGTTGTCAGCATATCAACTGATGGTATTCAAAAACCAGGCTTAGATGGTGATAGTGAAATTACTAGAGATGAGGTCAGCAAAAAAAATAAAAGCTGGATGAGCAAATGCTGAAAGTTCTCCCACAAAGGTAATTTTGTAACTGTCTCAGGGAGACAACAAATAGGAAATGCTTTAAAGTCCTACTGTGGGGCAGTTATTTGTGTTCAGGCTGCTGGACATTAGTTGGTAGGGAGAAAAAGTGTTTTCAAAATTGGCACAAAAACCGTGAGATTTTTAGATAACATACCACTTTTACCCATAACTTTTTCGGTGGTGTTGTAATGTTGTCTTATGTTCTTGTCTCTTAAAAACTGTCCTAACCTTCACCTTAAGTTCTATCTCTCTTTCATTTGACTCTTGGTTCCTTTTCGGGTCATATGGTTACCAAGATTTCTTTGTTAAATCTAGAATTAACAAATAAAACATGAAAGAAACATGGTTTAGAGCTAATGAATTACTTTATCAAGAGTAATGCTATTAATAATGTAGCAATTATGTACACACTGAGGATTAAGGTTCCTTGCTCTAAAAAGGCTTCAACGTTTGGGCAAAGATACATAAATCTTACTTTCAGCATTTGCTATACAGAAAAATAATAAATGCATGCGAGGAACGTTTACCAGATTTTTCACATAGAAGATTAAAGCTATCCTAAAGGCACTCTTTCTAATGTTAGGAGAGTCGCAGGGATGAGAGCATCTTAATTGTAAATGAAATAGGAGAGCTGTGCCAGGTGATGAACCACAGAAGTGCATTTCCAGGGTAAAGAAAACAGAAGTGCAGAAATGGAAAGTAAGGCATTTTGGAAAATGACAAGTACCGTAGTTGACTTTGGATGGAGTGTTGTCAGTTCGCACTGAGGGTCTGGACAGAGACTTGGGTCTTCAAGTTTCCAGTAACAGTGCTGGTGGCAGTGCTTGGTGAGTCGATGCCTCTTTACTCACAGCAAGATCAACAGTTCCAAAATTGAAGAATACAAAACAACCACCTCCAGAGTTCCTGTCATACCTTGACAAGCTCTTCTCAGTCACAGGTCCAGTTCTTGAAAATCTGGAAACCTGGAATCCATGGTGGCAGCTCCACTGAAAAGCTGTATCTGCTCCAACTACTGCAAACACTTCGTGAACCTCCAATCCTGGACATCCATGTTCTGTCACAGAATTTCAAGCTTTTAAGTTCCAGTTGATATTCTTTTCTTTCTCCAGACGAAAGCCTTTTAAAATCACAGTCTTAAAAGAGTCTTTTGAGGTACATCCAGATTAATTACAAAAGAGCTAAGACCAACACATTTTTCTCCAAAACAGTCATTTCTTTTGAAAGAAAATCATTTGTCTCTGGCCCTTTGGTAAAGGGAATAGTCAACTTATTTTAGACATTTGAATAAAATATCAGAATTGGTAACATCTAATCATACAAAATACACTTAAATATGTTTGTGTTCACTTGCTTAAAGAGCTGTACCACTTGATAAGCACCACTCCACAAAACGAAAATGTTTGAAATCCAACTGTTCAAACATTTTTATAGTGTTTGCTGGATAATGGCCTGGAATTTGATAAAAGCAGCTGACAATTAACAAACAAACAAAATGGCATTTTGGCCACTTAAGTCTCACACTTGCAAGCAACTAGAATACAAGGCTGGCCAGGAAAAAGTTAAGCTTCAAATTATTTCCAAATATACTGATTTTGTGGTTTAGCCAGAGCCCAACAAAACTTTTCAGAGAATGTTAACCTTCAATTAATAATAAAAACCAATCCAACCAAACCAAAACCAAAACCAACCCCAACCATCTTCAGGAATCCAACGCCTGGTTCAATCTGTTCCAAGGAGCCCGCTTGCTAAAAATTCACGTGCACCATTAGCTGGGTTTGGCAGCACCATTTAAAAATTAGCCTGTTCACTATCAACCAGACAAACCAGGGATACAAAATAGGAGCAAATGATAGGTGTCAATCATGGTCATTGAAAATGGTCAATGAACGAAAAGTAGTCAGGCACCAGGACGAGCAGCAGAAAACAATCGCTGGGCCAAAGATTACACTTCTTGATTCTATTGAACACATTCACTTCTACTGTAGCTGCTTTATAGTGGGTGTCATTGTACCATACGCATCAGCCACCCTTCAGGCACCCTACGGTGAGAGGAAAGGTCTTAGAATGAAAGCCAAGCAGTGAAGTCATTATGCGTTAAGAAGCAGCTCACATATACCAGGGACTCAAACGGGGGCTTCATATTGGTTGTGAGGGGTCCCAAATGACATGTAGGCCTCAGTCTCCTCCCGGTGGCAAAAACTGTTCTGGGTCATAGCTCCCTTTGAAAACTTGCTATGGGAGGAAGGATCCGCTCACTGCCCTAGAATACATTCCCCCAACGTGTTTCTGTACACAAATTCAGGGAGCCTTCCGATCTCCAATAAGAGGCTCCCGGATTTAATTTCAGGGAATGAGCAATTGCTAAGTCTTCTTGCAACTCAAAAGAAAAACAAAAACAATAATCACCTTTTATGTAAACCGACGCTTCCGTAAAGCGCTTTCAATTCCATACACACACTGATAGGCAGAGGAGGAAACTGAGGCGCAGACAAATTACAGAGTGACTTGCCTAAGGTCACTCGACCAGCGGGTGGCTAGGCCCGGAAGCAAACCCAGATCTTCCGACTCCGGAGCTCGAATCCCCACCCCGGAGCTGCCGCCAGAGCTCCCGGCCCCCACTAAGGCGGCATGAGTAGGAAAAGGCAAAGGAGAAAGCCCACCACCAGCCATCCTCCGGCCCCCTCCTGTCCCTCCAACTGGGTCCTAGCAGGCCCTGAAGGGTGGCGCCAGGCCTCCAGGCCGGCCCCGGCCCCCCCAGCCTCCCCCGCCGCCTCCCCGGGAGCGGGGCGGAGCAGCTGCCCGCCGCCGCCGACCACCCGGACGACTCCTCGTCGAATCGCAAAAGCATAGGCCGCCGCCCGAGTTCTGCGTACGAGAAGAAAGACGCGGCGCGAGCGCCAACGGCCACCGGGCGCGCGCCGCGGCGGCCGGGCCTGCGCCCCAAGAGCTGGATGCCAGAGCAGGAGAAAGAGCCGCCAACCGATCGCTCGATCGACCGCACGCCCGCTCCTTCGCCCTACCAGACCGGGGAGGGGGGGAGGGCGCGCCAGGGCTTCTTCGAGTTAGGGGCCTGACTCCCCGGCGACCAGACAAGATGGCTCCTCCGCTCCGCGCTGCGGCTACCGTCCCGGCTGCGTCGCTCGGCCCGCCCCCGGTACTGTTTCTTTAAATGGCGGTGAGGCTCAGGCAAGCAGGAAGAGAGGCGCGCGCCCTCACGTGACGGGGGGCGGCCCGGCCCGGCCAGATCCGGTCACGTGGGCTGCCGGGGCCCGCCAATCAGGAGGCGGAGCCCCGGCGCGGGGGCGGGAAGAGCAGCGGCGCCGTGATTGGCCGGCGGCGCGGCGGAGGCCTCGGAGGTACAGGCCGTCGGCAGGGAGCGAGGTGACCCGCGCTGCGTGCGCTGACGGAGACAAAGCGGTGGCCGAGGCGGCCGTGGCGGCGGCGGCGTGTGCCGCAGGCAGGACAAGTCCCCGACGCCGAGTCCCGTGGCGCCCGCCCCGTCATCGCCTGTCGAGGCGCGGCGCGGGTCGCGCGGGCGGCGGCGGCGGAGAAGGCGGCACATGGTTCCAAGAGCGCGCTGCGGTGGTTGAGTTCCAGTTCCGCGGGGAGGGACAAAGGCATCTGCGAGCTGCAGGCAACGCCCGGTCGCCCCTGCTGGTGCGCTCGCCGCTGCCCCCCGTTCTCCGCCCTGGAGCTGGGACTAGCTCCTCTCTGTCAGGAGCGAGGAGGTGGCCACAGGACCCGGGCCTGCGAGGGCCTGAGGGGCCGAGGCCATCTTCTGAGGAGAGTGGGGGAAGGGCGCGCCTGAGGTGATTCGGGAGGGGGCTTATCATGAGGTGTTTGTGTGGGCCGCTGTGAGCAGTTTCCCCCGCCATCTGTGGTGGTTGTGGCATCCGAGCCAGCTGTGTTGGGCCGGGGTTTGGGGAAAGAAATCGTCGGTCGGCACCGAGGACCTTTCAGTTGGGAAGCCGGGGAAAGCCGGAAATAGCATCTTCTGCACCGCCCCGCCTCGTAGAGCACCTGTTTGAGGAGCCCGGCGTCTTCGGTGGTGACGAAGTCTTCTGTGGTAATGACGTAGGTGGACCGTCAGCTTTATGACAGAAGTAGGTCAATTTCCAGATTCCTCGCAGGAAAGTTAGGAGACTAGAAAAGGACTCGAAGAACGTGAAGATGAAGCTGTAACTAACTGCCGAGTTGGAAGACCATTCAGAACCATTCATTTTTTGATGCGCGTCGGGCGTCGGAATTGTGTGAAGGAAGCTTGGCCCTCGGAGCGCTTAAGGACTGTAGGTTTAGGATGTAGTTCTTTCCAAAATATTACAGCAGAGTCATTGAAATACTTAAATCACTTGCAGCTTCAAATATCTGACTATATTTTTGGATAGATATTAGGGAAATTTTGTTTCATGTGTCACTAAGAAGCACAAATTTACCCTTTACTGGACGGAATCCTGAAAAAATCAGTTCCTCTATATGTACTTCCCCGTTTACGGGTAAACACTGGAGACTCCTTGCAGTCATGGCCTTCACCAATTATAGCAGTCTCAACCGAGCTCAACTAACCTTTGAATATCTGCACACAAATTCGTAAGTATCTTGTAGGTGCCACTGAGGTAACCAGTTAACTCCTTGGTGTTAATATGGAAATCCTTTCTTCAGAAAATTTTGCTTTTTTTGTTCTTTGGCATGTGTCGTTGGATTGAGATGTATCACAGGATTTCTTGAGTATTGAAGAACTGAGATCAGTGAAATATTTGTTGCTAATCTAGAAGAAAATTATTTTTACTTACTGGATCAAATTTTTCTAAATACAGCCTGTATATGGAGTCAGAATATTGAGTTGTTTCATCCAAGTGTTTAATAGGAATCCAACAAAACTGCTCTTTGGATCGCCCACATTTGGATCATCTAGTATCAACTGTTGTATGTCTTTAGTGACGGCCTAGACAATTAGGTTTATAACAAGTATTTCTAACAACAACAAGAAGAAGATGATGACATGTAAATGACCAACTTGGAAGAAGAAGGCTTCTGTTATTTTTCAGCAAACAATTGGCTTTATCTTTTTTGGCAAGTTGGCAGTACACCTAGTGTAGTTTATATATGTTAAGCAGGAGTGGAAATTTCCTTAAAATCCTTGATTTAAGTCTTTTCCTAAAATATGTGAAATCAAAGAAGCATTCGGTAGTCATGGTTCTTGAGTAAGTGAAGAGATTAACATCATTATAACTCAGTGTGGACTATTTTAGGGTTTGCTTATTTTATTTATTTAAGTCAGTTAGTTGTTTTGGAAATAGGGTCTCTCTCTATAGCCCTGGCTGTTCTGAAACTGACTGTGCAGACCAGGCTGGCCTGGAATTCACAGAGATCTGCCTGCCTCTGCCTCCAAAGTGCTGGAATTAAAAATGTGCTCCACTATGCCCTTGACTAAGTTATCTTGTGGGGCCAAAAACTAGTCTACTAATACATTTACCTTTTACTTTTGAGCTTAAGGTAAGTAATGAGTACTGGGATGAAGTAATGACCTAAATGAACAAATGGCTCAGATGAACCATCTGAAGAATAGAGACCATAGACTTCAGTTGTCCCATAATAATACAGTGAATTTTCTGAGTCCATAATACAGAAAACTCCTCTGAAAAGTAAATTTTTTTCTGAGTATTGATTTGTCCAATGATGAGAGGTTTTATTTTGGCAGTAATTAGGAAGTTTATTATTATTATTGAGGTAGATAAGAGATGGTAGCCCAGAGATTATCTTGGATACAGAGTATAGATCTGGAGCCTCACTAATCAAAGATGCTAGTACAGCCTTTGGCCACACTTTCGGTGTGCCTTATATTTGAGGTACATCTTAAGAATAATCAGGTGAAGGGTACTTAAATGAATTTTGGCCTGACAGGGCAAATTTGGAATTATGGATTTTCAGAAACTTAGAAGACCCTGTGAACTAGCCTTCAAGAGCTGTTATTCCAGTATCAGTACAGACTTTCTTCAAAACAGTAGTGTCAACATTTTGTTGCTTCTAGCTACTCAGTGTTTTAAATAGAAATAAATTTTAAGACAAACCTATAGGTTTTGAATTAGGTCTTGTCTTGCATTTGAGAAAACTGAGGCTCAAAAAAATTATCTTGAAGCTTAGAGAGGCTGCAGAAGCAAATTAAAGGTACCCAGATTTAAGACAGGAAGGTGCATTTGGCTACAGTGCTTAATACTTTTAACCTAATACACAATGCTGACTCTTACCTTGAAGGTTTTGTTTTCCTGTGTGTAGAGGATTTAACTTCCTGAATAATGTCTTCCATTTTGGTTTATTAACCTTTTGAGGATTATTCCTCCTTTTGCTGTTAAATACATTATTAATAGTATGTGAACACTGCCAAAGCAAAGAAGTAAACTGAGTTACTTGAATAAGGTGATGTTGGAGAATTTTCTGTGAATTTTATCTATGTTGAATTGGAACTTTGTGCTTGCTTCAATATAGAAGGATTGGCATATAGAATTTGGAAACTCTGGAATTTACTTGGACTTCAGATTTGATCTTTGAAATGATTCTACTTTAAATATGTCTATTTTCTTACATGAAGAAAATATTTAATTGTACAATACCACAGTAAGGGTGTATTTATTTTAGTCAGGCCTTTACTGTGTAGCCTTGGCTGGTTTTGATCCTCATGCCCTCAGCCTCTTAAGTGCTGGGATTCCTGGTGTGGGCTATAGCAGTGAACCCTCAAATTTCTTCTGTGTAAGTATTTTTGTTTGTTGTTCGGTTTGTTTTAGTCCTTATGACTTGATTGGAAGTTCATTCTTAGAGAAAACAAAAACTTAAAATTATATGTAATAGTAGAATAGTAGAATGGTTCAATAAATCAACTTCAGAGAAGGAAAGATTGGTCTTATAGTACCTGCTTTGTTCTGTTAAAATCTTAAAAATGCTAGACAATTTCAGATGTTACACCTACAAAATTAGGTGTAACACCTGCAAAATTAGGAATATTTTGAATTGTGAAATAAACAGCATTTTGTTTACTTTTCTTTTTATGTAGACTTGCAAGCAGAGCCCAGGCTAGAGGAGTAGACATTTTTGTGGTTTTGTGAAAAGCCTGTGCTTAGAAACCCAAAAACCCTATATTTGAATGTTTCATTTATGTGCCTATGCACAGGGCAACTTCTTTGAGCTTCAGTTTCTTCATTTGTGAGATGGAGCAAATATGATGTGTTTGCAGATTATGCCAAATTACAGTCAAATGTTGTTTATTCTCTTTATACTATTTTATGTAGACTAAAAAATCTAATGCAGTCTGTTCACCGGTGTTATACATTAGACAGATAAATTTTTAGAATGTTTTTAATTTTATTTGTATGAGTGTTTTACCTATATGTAAGAATATGTACCACTTTCATGCCTGATACCTGGAACTGGAGTTAGGGGTGGTTGTGAACCGCCATGTGGGAACTGGGAACTGAACCTGAGTCCTCTGCGAGAGCAACAAGTACTCTTAAACTGAGCCATATCCACTCCCTAAGCTGATACATTCAGAAGTGTATGTTGTAGAGAGTAAACAGGTTTCAATTTTTGTCAAAATTAAATACTTATGATAGTTTCTATTGATGATTATTCTTGGTTATATCTGCATCAAGGCTAGAGGCAAATTCTCATGATAAATTGAAAAAAACTAGTTTCTTTTGATAGCATACACTGCTTTTTATGAGGTTATACAAGTTAGGGTTTTCACAGTAAAGGAATCTTAAGCTCTTAGGTGGTAGGTTTTGTGTCTGCCATTCCTGTAGTAGAAGATTAATGTTCCTTTGGAATAAGATACATGTCTTAAGTCATTTGATTTGTTATACTCTTATGTACTCAGGTGAGCATAATGCTTAATATAAGGTGACATTTTTTGTCAGTTACTCCTGGAACATTCTGTTACTTGCCTTTGGCATAGGTATTGTATCCATGTGAGGAATGAATGTACAGGGACCAATAAAGTCAGACTTCTGTTTCATTTGAATTACAAGCCTGCTGAAATGTAGGTTGACCATATATTTGTGGGTGATATACCCATATATTTATGTATATATACACACAGACACAATTTAAATATTTCTTAGGTTTTCTTTTTTTTAAACAAGATCTTACAATGCAACTCTGGCTGTCCTGGAACTTATGTAGTTCTGGATGTGCTGAATGGAACTCACAGAGTTTCTTGCTTTTCCTTGCTTCCCTAGTGCTGAGATTAAGGGTGTGGGGCACTAGCTTTCAACTATTGTCATTGTATTAAAAAGCTCAGCAAAAATTTTTATGGTTTAGAGCTTGTGGACAACTTTTTTGGTTTAAATTCAGGTTGACTAATTAGAGAAACCATTTTTTTATATAACAAGCTAAAAACATGTCAGTTTATTGTTGGAAATGCTGGGCTGAAAAACTGTTTCTTTTGGGTCACAAGTGGTAATATCATGATTGAAAGTATTAGTTTATAAAAAGCCTTTGTGTTTTACCAATTAACTGACCTTGGATAATGTGCAAATGATATTTAGGTCTATGAAGAAGGTTATTTTGTTATTT